GTAGAGCCACGCTAGCTACACATAGCAATACAACAATACTATCAACGCTGTAGAGCCACGCTAGCTACACACAGCAATACAACAACATGCAGTCAATCGATCTTCGAGGCAGACAAGGAGCTTCTGGAACGTTAGCAAGAGCTACGGACCCCTTTTCGAGACCCGCGGAACCTCCCTCAATGTTACCGAACGACCCAAGCACTCAAACTACCCTCGACGAACCAAACGAAGACGCGTCGGACCTCGATTTTGACCTCGATTCACTACCGTATTCGAAGCCAGAGAGTCACACAAGGGCTAGATTAATTATCGAGGACTTCTTGGACATAAAGAGTAAAGGATTAAGAGACCACGAGCTTTGGTCTTTATTCCGACACGCTTTCGCTCGATGGACCGCGGACGAGTTCTCGTTGGCCGCTAAACAAGCACACGGCCGAGGAAGCAAGTTTACTTTGCTTATTAGACTAAGGGATTACTTAATGTCTAAGGGAGTTTGGTGCTTTCCAAGGCAAAAAGGCTACGCTAATGGACTAGCCTCGATTATACAAATGGAAAAGGAACACCAATGGACTTGGGAGGAGCAGCGAGCTTAGCAGGCAGCAATCGAAGGATTTGATTCTAGGTGGAACGATATTGCAATCGCCCGCTTAAATCGACAAACTGAGGAAGTTGCTAGAATTCAAGGGAAGCAGGTCGAGAGGTTTCCTAATTAATCAGGCCTTATTCGTCTCACCAAAATCATCGATGAACCTCCGAATCAGCTTTAAAGCATACTCGAAAAGGAAAACGAAGAACTCCGACGTCAAAATAACGCTATTGCGCGAGACCTCGACGACCTCCGTAATTTGACGATTACGAAGGACGTGCAATAGCGTAAGGAGAGAATCGAGGAGGCTACAAGGCATAAAGAAGAGCTCGAAGCAGCCAAGGCAGCAAGGCAATCGTCATTAAGGCGAAGTTCTCGCGATTCACTCCTTTCTCCCGTTCCTTTATTACTTCAGCTAGCGATTTTGTCACTTAAAGAATGCGCTGAAAAGAAGCAAGACCAGGGCAATGGATACCGCCAAGACCGAGCCTAAGGATACGAGCAAGCTCTTGCTAGCAACCCTAACGACCTTGACGGCTCGGACGGTGATCCAGAAGGAGGGAATAGAGGGGGAAGCGAGTGGAATGGGCACGGAGGAAGAGGAAGAGGACACGGTGGCCCGATAAGGGGACAAGGAAATGAGCCGCTAAGGGACCCTGGACGAGGATACGAACCCCTCGGCGAACCTGGGCCAAACCGACCCCTTACCAGCACCCTTTTTTCGACCCGAGTGCTAGCCAGGCACAGCACACTTGCGTACGGCACCTTAGGCGACCCCGACGACGATTTTCTTGAACTCGGAACAACGGACCCTTACTCGAGAGCAAAAGAATTAGCTTTATTTGCAAGGAGTTTCCCTAAGGAATTGAAATATTCAGGTCCTAAGAATGACTTTAATACTCGGCTCAGGATTTTTGCCGATCACGCGTGCCGATACGGGTTGACAACTGACGATTACCTGGCTGCTTTCCTTATTATGCTAGCAAGGGAAGCAATTGGGTTTTATTACAACTACGTGATCAAAGCTCAGCTACCTACTTTTAAGGCAAACGCTATTGCAGTGAGGGACCATTTTGAGACTGACCAACGGCGGCAAGCTAATTACGACCGTTGGGAAGAAATCTTATTGGAATTGATTCGAAAGGAAAATCCAGCCAATTCGTTAGCTGAATGCTTTGAAAAGCTCGAAAGGGAGTTGAGAACAGTGCAAAGAGCTCTCCGTCCAGGTCTGAGGGACGATAAGAGTCTCGCTGATAAGCTGTATTCAGCTTGTAAAAACGTGCTAGAGACGACTATTGCGCGGATGAACCTCGCAATCACTTCTACCGCCGCAATTGCTGACATTCGCCGAGCAATTGCATTTGCAACTGAAAGCTTACGACCTCCCGCCAAAGCAAGCAGAGCTTACGCGAGCTCTAGCGAGCCATTTGCTCAGCACTCCTCTCAGCACTCCTCTTAGCACTCCTCTCAGCACTCCTCTTAGCACTCCTTTCAGCACTCTCCTTAGCACTCCTCTTAGCACACCTCAAGCAAGGCTGATTCCGACGACCTTGAGGACGAGTACGAGTGTTTTATTCAAGGCTGCCAATACGGAGGAGAGCACTGTGAGCACTTCGCAAGGTGACGGGTTTTTGAAAAGGAAAAGGGGGGCTTGTTTCAAGAAGGATTTTCTTTGTTCTTTGCGTTTGAATTTTTGATTGTTCTTTATTTATTACCTTCTTCTTTTCGGTCGATATAATAGTTGGCAAAGCACTGTTTGGTTGGCAAAGCACTGTTTGCCAAAGAAAGTTTTGCCGGTGTCGGTTCATTTATATCGACCTTAGCTAGTAAATAGTAGTTAGGGGGAGCTCACTCGTGAACCAAGGTTCACGGGCCACTAGGCATGCCTCGCTTAGCCTGTCACAGGTCAAGGGGCCCCCCAACCTGCTTGTAAACCTAGTATTTAGCTAGTACACGTGACTCCTTCCTATTGTATAGAAGGAGTCAGCTTTCTTAGAGCAGATGAATAAATCAGAACAACAAGCAACAATTGAGTATTTTACCACCGAGTGTTTTGCAATTGCAAGTACTTTGACGACGTCACGACTTTTACGAATTATTACGAGAGATCGCTACCGGCGATCCAACACTTATCGAAAGCAAGCATATTAAAAGCTTTAAGTTTAAAAAAAGGTCTACGGATACTTATGTAATTCGAAGCATTTACGAAAAGTAAGAAAGCTTGAATCTTTTTCATTTCGTTTTTAATTAGCTTACGAGTAATATCTTCGTTAAGTCCGAAATCTTTTTAAATCGAAGAAGTCATAGCTCTTTTTGATTTCCGAGAGCTTTAACGTAAGCTTATTAAGTTGAGTTGATAGATATCGATTAAAGTATAAAAATGTCTCGAAACGAATGTAATAAGAAAACGAAAATAATATAAATATAAATGAATAACAAAAATACAATAAATATAATTTGTAATAAATATTAAATATATTAAGAAATGTTATAAAGATATAAAATCTCGATACCTCGAAAGTGATTTATTAAAGAGTCGAGTGTCGATCGCTTCGAGCTAGATAATCGAAACCAAATTAATATAATAAATAATATTAATAATACGTTTAACTTTTAAACGTAAGATCCGAATAAACGGAAAAGTAATTGCTGAAATTAAGTGTATCGAAATAGAAACGAAGTCGAGTAATAGCCGAGCTTCCGTGCAAGTATATAGCTTGCTATTAGTATAATACGACACCGAAACGGTTTCGAATTGCATAACATTTATTTCCGCTCGTCGTATCTTTTATTTATTAAAACGAAAGATATTCGAAAGCAATTCGAAGTCTTTATGCGTAATCTTTATTGCGAAGTAAGTATTGAATTTTCAATCTCTTAAGCTTAGCGTAGTATTTCCGATACTTAGCTATTGCTTACTTTTTTTTTAAAAAAGCAAGAGCAATAAGCTCGTATTAAAAGCGATATTAAATCGAAAAAGTAAAGTATACTAAACGAATGATACTTCGAGCGTATCGCCGTGCAAAGTAACTTAAGTAAATAAAACTCTATAGATATTAAATTGAACTTTAGCTAGCTCGATCTTCGAATTAAAATAACAACTTTTTAAGTAATACTTATCGAGTATATCGAATAGCATGCTCGACGGACACAAATCGAAGAAAGATCGCTTTTAAAGCAATAGCTTCGAAGCTTATATGCAAAAGCACTTGACTATTAGCTTAGCGTGTGTCGAATACTTTTCGAAAGAGCACTGCAAAAGCATATGATCAATAGTTTAGCGTATGACGTGAACTTCGAATATATAGCTTCTCGTAAAAGAAGCAAGTTTAAAAAAGGTATAAAGACTAACTTTTAATTCGATTCTTTACGTAAGTTATTAAATATATATAAAAGAGAAGAGCTCCGATATATACTTAACGTTAAATCAAGAGATATATATAAATATAGCTATAGTAAGATCGTAAGTGATTAAAGGAAAAGAAAGAAGACGATCGAAAGACACTCGAATGTATGCTATGAGTACGTGTATTGTATTGTATAGTAATGTGGTGCTAGTTTAAAGAAGAACCAACTACTCGTTTATATAAGAGCTTACACGTAACCTAACTACGTGCTTAGCAAGGCCAGAGCATACAGCGCACCTACGTGATAAAGGTGCTTAGCATCAGTACTATATACATGGACAAAACAAATACAGAGCCGCAACTCTACTATACTACTTGTGCTACTACTTATGCTACTACTTATACTACTTATCTTATTACTTCGGGCAAGCTTACGCGTAAAACTAGTATATCGTCGTAATAATAATAAGAGCGGGCGGAGCTGAAGCGCAAAATTACGCAATATCAAAAAAGAAGATTTAAGCTTATATTTGCGAAAAGTACGTTACGATAAGTAAAAGTGATCGAGCTTAAATAAAGAATATCGTAGTGAGCGCTACGATTTCCGAAAAAAGGCTCGTAATAAAGAAGCTGCAATTAAAGCGCGTCGAGGTCGACTTCGAAGTCTTTTTATTAGCTGGCTATTATTAAGAAGAAGAGTATGTTTCGATTTGAAAAGAAATAGCTTAGCATTATTCGTATCTTTATAACTTTTGCAAGTAGCGAATACTTTGCTTTAATCGTCGTTTTAAAATGACAAGAAAAGCTGAAAAACATCTTTTAGCAAGCATTTGCGGTTAGTATAAAGTTTCGTCTTTATATTATAATAAAAGTAGTTGTTAAGAAGGTTAAGTTGTTGATTACGCGTAAGTGTATTAAAGTGACGCGACGATATATGCAGCAGAATTAATAGCGGTAGTTAAATTAAGCTTAGCTGTGTTTTATATTTAATTCGAGCCGACCCGTTCTGAAAAAAGTTTAATAGATTGATATAAAATAAAAGTCTTAGCACGCTTAGAAATCTTGTTAAACCGGTATAAAATAGTCTTACGTAACTGTATGACTAATCACTACTATAACCCTTGGATTACTTATCACTATTACAACCTTTGGATTACTCATCACTATTACAACCCTTGGATTACTTATTATCACTATAACTACTGGAATTTATCTTAGGTTACCGTTGGTGACAATAAAGTGCGTTTAAAAGACTTAGCGTGTCGTTATATTACTTTTTCGTCCGACAAAAGCTCGTTTTCGAGCGTTTATTTATTGCTTTATTATTGCTTAAGTAATCGTAGTTATTAATACCGTTTGAATAAGTCTTAATCTATTCGAAAAGCTTCGCGAGAAAACTAAAGAGCTCTTTGTGTTTTAAATAAAAGTTACGTACTTTAAAAAGAGCGTATATAAAGTCGGAAGCGGAGTATTAAGTAAAGTTAATATCGCGGCCGAGCTAAGAAGCGCGGTATTTAAAGTGCTTCTTGATTTAGCGCACGGTTAAAATGTTTTTTATTTTATACTTAAGTTCGCTAATAATATTAATTAAGTTAAGTTTAAGAATGATTTGCTTAAAGGTAAGGTTATTAAGAGCTTTTCGTAGCCGTTCGAAATAAAAGACTAAATAAACTTTTATTAACTCGAAGAGCTTGAGTTTAAAGCTGTTATAAACGTTATCGATAACTTCGAACGGTTTGTTCGTAAAGTTATCGAGCTTTTTTTAACGGTCGAAAAGTAAAGAACGAGCGTATATTTAATTAAATTTTATTATTAACGTCGAAGTTAACCGAGCGCTTTAATTTATTAGCTTGTTTTGTTATGCGGTTTTAAGCGCGTTAAAAGTGTTTTTTAGCAAGGTTTTTAGCTTTGAAGTAGCAATTAACGTAAGCGCGAGCTTCGTTTTAATTAAGCTTGCGAGAAAAGGTTAAGTCGTTAAGTCGTTTTAAGCTTTAATTTTAAGTGATTCGTAAAGCGTAGCCGTAGATTACTTTAAAAGGAAAGAGACCATCGAAAGAGTCGTAAAAGAGCGTTAATTAAGCGAAGTCTATAATAAAAAAGAATTCGCTTTAATCGTTTTAATAGTAGCTTACGAAAGGACGGAAGCGCTTTTGCAAATACTAATTGTAGATTTCGGTTTAACCGTTAGTTTTAAAGTATACGGCGGTGTTAAAGGTTAGTTTAATACTAAAGATTTTATTAAATTCTTTTTAAAACTCGGACTAGTATTAAAGTCTTTTATTAAAAGTCAATATTAAAAGAGCTTTAAAATACTTATAAATACGATATATATAAAGCTTAGCAAAGCTTTTAGTATCGATAGACTTATAATAAAAGATCGAGATTGCTTATTTAAAAAAGCGGTCGATTATTATAAAGACGTTATCGTAGCTATGTTTATTTTTATTAAAGCTATAAAAATCTATAATAACGTGCTTTTAAAAGCGTAAAAGGATCGGAAAAGATTAAAGCAAATTAGGTTTTTTATCGCGAAGCATTAAAGCTCGTTTGCAAGCGTAATAGTTGCGATAATACTAGTTAACGAATTTAGCTATACCGTGCTAGTAATACTATGCTGCAAAGAGCTTATAAGTCTTGCGAGAGCTAAAATGTGTTATAAATATTTAATCGTAGATTTTTCGAACGAGTAACGAGCGTAAGTTTCAAACGTTAAGAATTCATAAGCGGCCGTTATAAAGCAGCAAGTCGCTTTTTATAATGAGTTTAGCTCGTAAACCGTAGTTTACGAGTAAAGACTTAGCTTTAAAAGCTTGAATTCGAAGTATTATAAAATTAAAAGCGGTCCGATTAGCTTTTAAGATTTAGTTAATAACTCGAAACGTCGATAAAAGCTCCGCGATCTTTTCGATAATGACGGTAGTCTTTAAGAGCGTAAGCTAGCGTAGCTTTTCGATTAAGAATCGTAAGTTAACGTTATTTGCGCGAAGCAGCGTTTATAAGCGTTAAGTGCGCTTAAAGCTGTTTTAAGATAAAAGCTCTTCGATGCGGCGTATTAACGCGTTAGTTAAAAAGTTGTTTTTATTTAGTTTATACGTAATAATAAAGTTGTAAT